GGAAAAAATAAAATAATAAAAATGAAACAATAAAATAATTCTCACGACGTTTTGGCCACAACGCAAGCAGCCGTCCTCTGGTGAAGCACAGGTCTGTCGGAAAGACAGCGTCTGAATGCTGTCTTTCCGACAGACCTGTTCTTCACGTTATATATTGAGTCACACTATTCACAAAATTATCCTGACGCATGCTTTACAAGAACAGGGCTGCCTAGAGAGGCGGTGGGGGGAGGTGCAAAAGGGGAAATTTTCCCCAAGCCGCACACTCACAAATAAGCCCCCATGTCGGGCCTATTTTTGTTGCATATGAATAAGGGGGCTCTATGTGACATTCTGGGCCTCGAGAAATAGAAATATGTAACATCCTTATTTCACACCGGGGAATCTCAGGTCTTTCATTTAGCGAGGTCATACGTTTTCTGGCAACCAGCATCTTAGCAGCCCTTCCAAATGTTTGAACTCATGTGCATACTGACTGCGTGATGCATGCTCCTGTTTCCAGACCCGACCACGAATGCTAAATTTCACCAACCTCAGCGACAATTTCCAATCTCACGCATTGCGCGGGCATGAAAGTAGTTGATTTCCACCTCCCCCGGGCATACAGCACCTTACGCTACAGCCAGAAAAATGCCACAATAGCCAAAAGCAGTCCCAGTTCCCACCAGAGACCAATCAAACATATTTTCCAACTTGACAGCTTCGCAATGCACAAGGGTACACTACTGATGTTGCACCATACGGGGGCTCTCCAGCAAATATAAACCATGCGCTGGAGTTCTATGTTTACCACCGTTACCATGGGGTGTTTCATGAAAGCGCAGGGGATGGAGCAAAGTCGGAGTAGGGTGGTGGCTCGTCAGGGTTACAAAGCAGGGTTCATAGCTGCAGAGGCCAGCATGTGGCATCATGGGGTTGGATGTACTTGGGTTCTTTATCTGCGGTCCTTATTGTTGTGCCTCCCAACAGCTGTTGGCCAACAATGATTTCTGCTCTTTCTCCCAAACTCATTTTACTGTTATTCATGATTTTCTGTACAATACGCCCACTGTAAACATAAATTATTGTATACATATGTTGCTGTTCTGAAGGTCATGAACCATGTCAGTGTTCAATAGAGACAGGTCAATTCTTTTTATTTTCAGCGACATAAATTTTTATTACTTTTGACTGTGAGGTCCATGATATGTTTAGGTTGTTTGGCAATGATGTCCAATCTTTCGACCCACATGCTGGGAGCTTTTTTAGGAAGCGATTTATTGGAAGGGAGCTACAGTACTTCAGGAACTTAATTGGTAAGTTCAGTTCCAAAATAACCACCTAGCGTGTGGATGGAAACGTCGGACATCATGCCGAACAACACGCGGTACAACCCGAAAAACACACCGCAGAGCGATACGGCACAGCCGCGAAAACCTACACAGTACTTTTAGCATAGACACTGATGGTTGTAGGTCATGGAGGTGTGACGCACACTTCATCATGTTCGACAGTGAAGGTTGCTATGGGGCAGGGGTTGGCAACCAAAATAACAAGAATATCCATTATTTTAGAAGTCGGTAAAAAACCCGGAATATTTAAAGAGCCGCAATGCGTGTGAATAACGTTACAAAGCAGGCCTTAAAGAGCCATAGGTTGCGGACCCCTGGTATAGGGGTTATACCGTTATACCAATCACTAATGGGGTTAAATTACAAATTAGTATAACTTTTGCTTTCCAGTGCACCATCGTCACCAATTATACAGTAAATAAATTGTGACAATGACTTGAACATTAGGGTGGGTAGAATAATACATAGTGTTATATTAAAATGTATAAGGTGGTTTATAGCAATACAGTATGTAATTTAATGTTGGGTTTGCCTATGTCAGTATATAGTACGGTATAGACGCGTGTGATGTAAGAGAATAAAGTTTAGATGGAAGCATATTATATAATTTTTTACAACGTAGAAATTTTTTTATGTATTACTTACTGTTAGTAACTCAACTTATTGTAGAGTATAGTAAGTATACTGATGATTCTATGTAGTTTATACTTTAGTTTGTTATGCAGTTTATACTTTAGTTTTTTACGTGGTTGTTTAGTAACTGCAGCTACATACTATTAACATTCCTTTCCTTTGTTAATGCTACCACCTCCCCCCCCCTTTGATGCTGCTAATCCTGCATAATGCACGGGCATAGTATTGATTTGGACCCCCCCGCCCACCTCCTACGCATTTTCCATATGCTGAATTCCTCTTGATATGCAAATTATTTTGTTTAGGCGCTCTTCTTCCCACCTCCCCCCCTCTAACCCAGCTTAAATATACGCTCCAAGCTTGGTGGTGCTTGATTCTTCGCCTGAGGACGGCTGCTTGCGTTGTGGCCGAAACGTCGTGAGAATTGTTTTATTATGTTTTATTTTTATTATTTTATTACTTCCCTTCTACGTGACTTTACCGAAAGAACCAAGAAGATGAATCCCTGCAGTCACGAAAGCTTTAAATCGAAATTTAAGTTCACTTTCATAACGCCTCCAGTCTATACGAAGCCACATCATTCGATCCCAGAGTCTTCGTGCTGGTGGTTGCCTGCACCACTGGTTCTGACGCAGGCATGAATCACATCATGACACCCAACCACCTCCACTTCTTTCATGGCATATCAGCACTTAAGCTCATCCCAATTAGTTTGAGTCTACCATTTAACCAGCATATGCACACGGTAAAAAAAATAAATCGACGAAAAATTTCACAACTAAAATAATACAAAAATTACTATCAGCAAAATCAACATTGAAGATGTATCAAAACATGTAAGTTTCTGTGATCGTTACGGGATATAGTTTCTCTGTGGCCGTCGCCAGTAGCGCCAGCCCATCCACACGGACCACACTCACCTCCCGGCAAAGCGCCTGAAATCGACAAGGGCCATTCTGAGACACGGCGCAGAGACTCGGTCAGCTGCACGCCCGGCAGCATCGAAGACGAGCGGAGGAACAATTGGGGGAGAACGCCCTCGTCCCGAATAAACACCTCGTCGGGGATTCTTCCTTCCATCTGCCTGAAAGCTCACTGCCCCGTCAGTCGTGGGCTGTTTGGCTACCTTACACGATCTGAGAACTGGCCACGATTGCACGAGCAATCGCCCATTCCACAAACTGAAAAAAACAACGAATTGCCTAAATGTGACTGTGACGAGTGACACCAACAGTGGAAGGCATCATCGTGAGCAATCTTGCCCGCTGCGAGTATTCTCCGAAACCACAACTGGCATTGACTCGACTTAAAGCTTTCGTGACTGCATGAATTAATATTCTTGGGTCTTTCGGTAAAGTCACGTAGATAGGTTCAAAGAGAGGTTCAAAGCACCTATCTACGTGATGGCATTGACTCCTTGTGTCCAGAAGCCAGCGGCTGGATTTTACAACCGAGACTCTGATCTAGAGTTGCACCTCAACTGTATCTACTGCACGCATGTTGAACTTCTTTCGCACCGTATGTAGCCAACCGTGCTAATCGGAGGTGCGGGGGAAGGACAACAAATTAAACACACACAAAAAAACAGTAGTTTTCAATCTAGATGATTTAAAAGTGCAACGCTCCAGTGGCTTCCGAATATTGAAAGAGGCGTTCCAGACGGCCGCAGAAGCGCGTCTGAAAGCGCGCGATGCGGTGACCGTTTTTGTTCGATGGTTATCCATACAAATAAAATACAATTTCGTGTATTCCAAAAGTAATGTAAGCAATGTTTTTTTATTATCCTGCTTGTAAGTAGCGTATTTTTACAACATATATGTTTTAATGCGTCTCGTCAACTTTCCCAAAAAAAAACAATAAACCACAAATTCACAACGTATCGATCACAACACAAGCGGTCGGTTATTATTTTGTATTAATGATTCATTAGTTTTATTAATTAAATTTTCTATCTACGTGACTCTACAGAAATAACCAAAGAATATGAATTCTTGCAGTCACGAAAGTTTTCAGTCAACATTTCCCAAGTAACTTTTATGCAAATAAATGGCACTTATTCGGATTTGTTTTTTAAAGTGAAGTGGGGATGGAACGCCGGTGTAGGGGGCGGGGGGGGGGGCACGAGACGCGTCATTGCGACGTCTCGCGTGTGGGGGGCGGGGGGGGCACGAGACGAGTCATTGCGACGTCTCACTTGTGGGGGGGGGGCACGAGACGAGTCATTGCGACGTCTCGCGTGTGGGGGGCGGGGGGGCACGAGACGAGTCATTGTGACGTCTCGCGTGTGGGGGGCGGGGGGGCACGAGACGCGTCATTGCGACGTCTCACTTGTGGGGGGCGGGGGGGCACGAGACGGGTCATTGCGACGTCTCGCGTGTGGGGGGGGGGGCACGAGACGGTTCATTGTGACGTCTCACTTGTGGGGGGCGGGGGGGCACGAGACGGGTCATTGCGACGTCTCGCGTGTGGGGGGCGGGGGGGCACGAGACGGGTCATTGCGACGTCTCACGTGTGAGGAGGGGGGGGCACGAGACGGTTCATTGTGACGTCTCACTTGTGGGGGGCGGGGGGGCACGAGACGGGTCATTGCGACGTCTCGCGTGTGTGGGGGGGGGGGCACGAGACGCGTCATTGCGACGTCTCGCGTGTGGGGGGCGGGGGGGGCACGAGACGACGTCTCGCGTGTGTGGGGGGGGGGCACGAGACGACGTCTCGCGTGTGTGGGGGGGGGGGGCACGAGACGCGTCATTGCGACGTCTCGCGTGTGGGGGGGGGGCACGAGACGCGTCATTGCGACGTCTCACGCGCTGGGGCGCTGCAGGAGTGGGCCAGGGGGCAGCGTTGTTGGGCTCAGCTGGGAACTGACTGTGTTGAAGGGGGGGGGGGGGAGTTCGTGGGAGGCTGTGGGGTGGAGGTGGAGGGAGGCTGCGGGGTGGAGTGGGAGTGGGCGGGCGTGTGGGTTAAGATGCACGGGGATGGGACGGGGTGGGGTGTACGTGTTGGGGGTGGCTGTGATATTCTCGGGCAAGCGGAGAATTGAGGCAGTCAAACTGCAGGATCTTGAGAACGCAACAGGCGAAACCAGAGCCCCGGGTGAAGCCACCCCAGTGGTCCACCCCACGGCAAAATCAGAGTTTGAGAGGCAGCAGACCACTGCGTGTGTTATCAACCAACGCGTGTTCACGTCCACACCACAACCGCAGGTTCTCTTGGAGGAAGCCCGGACAGCGAGTACATCAAGCGAGAGGACTTGAGGAAGCTCCTCTTGCACGTTGATGAAGACGATGGGCGATGCGAGGAGGGTCTCCCTGCTCCTGTGCGCGCTCTGCGTCGGCGCTTGGGCACGCGTGGACCTGCAATGTAAGAGCCGCCGCTGCTGCTGCTGCTGCACCACACTCTGCACTGAACCAGAGCATCCCGTAACCTCTTCACACACACACAGCATATTGATGTACAGGTTGGCTCGCTTGTCTTGTGAAGCAACATTTAATTCTCTGAAACGTAATATTTTTGAAGCAGAGCTTTATTTAAAACCGAAATTAATTTGCTAAGGAACAGCAATGTTCGGGGTCAATTAATTGGGGGTCGCAGCACATATGGACCATCACCCTGTACAATACACAGTCATTGATGGATGAATGTTGACGCGCATTAACTCATTGTACGCGATTGTGGTTGTGACCTCTTCGCTATTAAGCACGCGTATTTACGCTGGCTTAGCAACACACTGGTGCGCAAAAGCCATTTAAAAAAATGTATTTTGCTTTAACATTCCCTTGTGGATCACTTGGCATTTGCCGGAGTGAACTTTTCAAAGTTGTCTTTGTACTTTCCTCTCGGCGCAATTGTCTTGCCAAGTCATCCGCATGCATGGCGCTTGGCGTGGAAGAGTTGCAGTCTCCATGTTAATCGCTTTCAATCACGGCCACACACACACGGACATATTGTTCTTACTATACGCCTGCTATTAGCAATGTCGTAGAAACAATGTGTTCCCGAGATTTAACAAGTAGCAAAAGGGGCTACTGTTAACGCGGCCAGCTTTGATCTCTGCGAACGCTGGCTTTAAATGTCCCGAGTAAACATACACAAGCAATTATTCAAAAACCTCAAACTCAGCAATTGCATCATGCGCTGGTAATTACAGCAGTTAGGGTAATCGTTTATAAAGCTGCATTAGGTACAGCTTAAAGAACCTTAGTTTTGACATTTTCCTACTCTTTAAAAATATATATATATATATACCTTCACGGGAATGTTTGTAGTGTGATGAAGTTTTTTTTAATGTTGCATTAAACGAGTAAACATTTATGGGAAGCTACAGCAAACATTCTGTAATGATAACTACTGTTGCAAAGTGTTTACCGCACTGCAGTGACCCCCACTTCCACAGTCACCACACAAGCTGCTCTCTGACAACATAACAAAGCACATCATGGCCAATGACCAACAAATCCAGAATTCCCGTCACACATCGAAGCCTAAGCATGGTTGAGCCTGGATAGTGCTTGGGCTGCGTGACCATCATGCATAGAACAGGTGTGGAAGGCGTTGTGGTCAGCAGAGGGCAGTGCGCCAAAATACACCGTGCTGTTCTACCACCACCTTCGCCAATAAACCGCACTGACCGGCGTGGTAAAGTATGGTTAAATGTTTCTCAAATGTCGCAACAAGGGGTGGGGAAGGCCCTATCCAGGAGTGGATTGACACCACGGGCGGGTAGACCTTCACGTCACAATGACAATTCACAATTCCTAGGGGAGAGCACAATGAACTTGAAAAATCACTGTACAGTACTTAAAAAAATCTAAATGTAATAGTGAATGCATTTCTCGTGATGTCATACAAAAAGCCCTCCCGATATGAGTGGCATTTGGCAGTTGCCGACTAAACATGCAGCAAGAATGAAAAAGCGTGGAACAGTGAAGTGCAATAATTATTTTCACATGTCGTGCACCTTAATTGCTCATTAAACAGAATTGGTGCTGTGGACACTGTTGGAGATATGCCACCAAATTGCACATGCAATGGCAATGGCAGCTGTGTTATTGAACTTTTGGCTTCTTTTCTTCCTCTGTGCAACCATAATGTTTGTTTAGCCCCTTCTGAATGCGAATTCACTGTAATAAACATGTACATACATGTGCAATGACAATGCAGTACAGTTGCCGCATATCGTATAAGCCGTACAATCTGGTTTCTATTCGAGCCAAAGAACAAAAAAACGAGTGTTAACTTATATTTTCCAGTCTGCGTGTGGAGCCAGTTGGTTGAAGTGAATCATACATTCCTCTACCAATTAGCATTAACACTCAAATTATGTCACTCAGGACATTGGAATTTATAAATTGTCCATGGCACATATTTCTGAACAATTTTGTGAAATATATATCAACAGTGTCTGTATACTCAGTCTAAATGCCCATTAGATTGTGGGTGTGTATATGTGGGTGTGTATATGTGGGTGTGTATATGTGGGTGTGTATATGTGCATGCTATCGGAGTCGTGGTTCAAGCGCTGCGCTACAAACGCGACGACCGAAGTTCGACTCCCGCTCACGGCCAATCTGAACTGGTCCCGGGCCTCCCCTAGGTTGACTCAGCCTAAAATAAGTACCTGGTGCGGTGTGTAAACATCGTCACTAGGGAGACAAAGACAGTCGGGCGTGGTGCTGGCCACCCACTCCCTCGTGTAGCGTTCCGGCCTTCATAGGTGCTCGCTAACAGCACTTGCCCCAACAGTCTGTTAAGACTATACGGGGGATATTTGTATTTTTTTATGATATTGGTGGAGTGGTTAGCGCTACGCTGCGCTACAAACTCGACCACCTAAGTTCGATTCCCGCTCACGACCAGACACCAGTGACGATTGTCTGAACCGGTCCTGGACCCACTTTTGGCCGACTCAGCCTCAAATTAGTAGCTGGTGTGGTGTGTAAAACACATTGCCCACTGGGGGAGACAAAGGCGGTCGGGCGTGGTGCTGGCAACCCACCCACTCGTGTACCATTGCAGGCCTTCATAGATGCTCGCTTTGCCCCTACAGTCTGTTAAGGCTATACGGGGGATCTTTGTCTTTTTATATACGAACTTGGCTTGGATCTTCGCTTTTAAGATCCAGCTCAGAAATCAAATGTGGTGATGTGTGTTAGCGCTGTAGAGGCAACTATGGTTAAACGTGTGGCTGATCATATAACCTTTCCAGCCTACATATAATAACAAAACTGTATTGGTTTAATGAGTGGATCTTTGTTGTGTGTATGATGTATGTGCATGCAATTAACAGATATGCTGCTGACATATATGAATACGAATGGTTCATATATGAGATACCTAAGCTTGGGAGAGAAAAAAAACTAGAAGCCCTTTAAGTTATGGCAGTGTAATTATTGATGATCATTAAAGGGGAGAGTCATGATGACAGCGAAGGGCAAAGGCTCTTCAATGTAACCCTGCCTTAAGAATAAAGACAACACTTAGTACGTGCATCATTAGTGAAACAAAACAAAATAGCTGTGACTAAATCACTCAACACCAAGAAAGAAATTCAGAAAAACCAGAGCTGCTATTTACAAAGCATGTTACGCATGCTTTGGCAAATGACACGGAACATATAGTGTGCTATTCGTTAAACATGGAAAGTATTCGGTGACCTGCCATGCTTTGCACATCTCGGCGTGACACATTGCACGTTGATGTAGGGTACAGACAGCTGTGGTCTGCAAGTATTTACCCTCGCTTCAGTCACTGCGTGACGACGGGGAGGCCGAGTGGGCTGCTGTGTGAGTCAGTAGTCTGATTCCTTAGCCACAGAATTTCTCCTGCAAGTCACTGCCAAAGCACGCCATACTCTGTGGAGTGGGCAGGACACGCTTGTGTCATTTTTTTCCCTTTTCATTGCGTGGCATTATCTATCATCACCAGCGCAGCTCGGATCTTTGCCGTGTCATCATCATCAGCCAAGATCAGTCCGCTGCTAGATGAAGGCCTCCAAAAGCTGTCGCCACATCTCATGTTTCTGCACTGTATTATCCACCTTGTAGCTGACCCTATTCGTCTTGTCTATTGATCTTTCTCCAGCGTGGAGCTCGTCACATGCTTACACTGACGACACCGCGTTTCATTGTAACGTCTTCAGAAGTATAGATCAACACTTCATCAAGCTGCATGAGAAAACCTACAATCAACTGCTTTCATCCTGTTGATTCTATCTTCTTACGTCTTAATTTTACATTCGGACCATAATCCCATTAAGAGTTATTCACCCTCTTGATAATCCAGCCCTCTATGCATCTCTTGCATTGGGACGTGCTGCTGGGTATTAATAACTGGATTCGGATGGGTTAGTATTCGCAGAGACCCTATCAGGTTCATAATGCTCATGACTGCCATTCAGAGAATGTGATAGACGACGCGGTAAGATAAATCCTCAAGAGCACATGGTCGGAGTTGTGATAAGTGCATCCAGATGACAGTCGCGGTGCTTATCCTGGCACGGAAATGTCTGAGCCACACCCGAGCCCTCGCTGTGCTGGGATTCCAGTTGCCAGCAGCGGAATGATTCGTAGGTCACATTGTATCTGCTGACCTTGTGAAGTCGTTGCGTAAGGGCGGCAGTGCGTGCGTGCCGTGCTCGTGTGCAAACGTGCATACACACAGAGTCGTGCCTGTGCGACACCATCGCAGGGAGCATTTTAACGGTGGGGGGCGACATGCACAGTGGAAAGTGGCTGAAAGCGTGGAAATGAAGTGGAAAACGATACAATTCCACCTCCTTGGACATGCAGCGAATGAAAATACTGCGTTGAAATGTCAAGTAGAGAACATATTTAGAAGTCAAATGCAATTGAAGAGCAGAGGAAGGCATGCCTGATGTCTGCTGCCGGTTCTGAACGTCAACACGAGGAGGATGGGTGGTCTCAAAGTTTCTGCATTTCCTCCAAGGCCATGGCTCAGCGGTTTGGCTCTGCGAACGAGTCCACATCTCAGCGTGTTGCAAAGCGTGCCATGCCACATTTCTCCTCTGCAAGGCCGCTTGTTCTCGTGTTGTTGGCTAACGGCATGGAATGGATCAATTTAAAAAATAACAGAGAAATAAAATAACTAAAACTTCTCAAAAACTGTCTTGTGAGCAGATCTTAAAGATTATTACAAGCATGGGTCTGTAGGAGGCTCTAAAAGCTCCTAAGTGTACGTCAATATTTAGAAAAGTATTATCTGGGCCTATTTCGTACGTGTGTTACTAAAGCTGTCATTTAATAGTTGCGTGAATTAGAATAGTTGTGAAAAAGTAAAATGATTATCATACGTTGCTCGACTGTAATAAATGTTTAAAAATGCGAAATCCAAAATATCTTCAT